ATATATATTAGTTGAGATATGTTATATATTATAATTATATTTTGACAGTATCCGTTGTTTCTGATTGGCGCAAAAAAAATCTTGCCTAGTGACGAATTCGCCCCTTGATATGGTCGTTACTTAAAGCTATTTATATTCGAAATTGCATGAAAATTGGAAAATAGGAGTCTATAAGCTTATCCAGGCAAAAAGCTACCTACGTACCGAATTTTAAGGAAATCGGACCATAAATACGATTTCTTCGAACAGAACGGTCCCTGGTCCACTTCTCGGACAAAATGGATCATATATGCTAATATATGCTAAAAAACTACTTACGTACCGAATTTTAAGCAAATCGAACCATAAATGCGATTTTTTGGAATAGATCGGTCCCTGGTCCACTTCTCGGAAAAAAATGATCACATATGCTAATACATGCTAAAAAGCTACCTGCGCACCGAATTTTAAGCATATCGGACCGTAAATTCGATTTTTTCGAATAGATCGGTCCCTGGACCACTTCCCGGAAAAAATGGGTCATATATGCTAATATATGCTAAAAAGCTACTTACGTACTAAATTTTAAGCAAATCGGACTATAATAAAACTTTTTCGAATAGACCGGTCCCTGGTCCACCTACCCGAAAAGAAGTAAAATTTTTTTAGCCTAAAACATGGTGGTTACCGGAAGCTATTTGTGTCCAAAATTTCATGAAAATCGGACCAGCCGTTCGCGAGATTACCTGTTACAAAAAAAGGGACTTCTCTTTATATAATTAGTATAGAGTATAGATATAGATAGATATACATAGATGTTTACGTTTATTTCGTTGTGTTTTTATTTATGGCTCATTCCACGGTGACGGGTGTGATATTTCAACTCACCTCTTAAACTGTAATATAAAATTCTTTAAAACGAGTATTTTGTAATAGGTTTCCGAGATATACACAATGCCTAGAATAAAAATTTCAAAAACAATTTAATCCGAACGAGTTATCTGAATTTTAGCCACTGTGACGGGTGTGACGAGTACGCAAACCAAATTAGCTACTGCTTACTTGCATCAGAGTTTTTCTGCTAATTATGTCTTCTGCTTATGGTTTTAAATAGTTCGTTGTATAGTTAAATAAACATTCTCAAGCATAAACATTCATAAACATTGACAAGTTGAGCATGAATACTTAAATCATTATATAAATAGGCAATCATGTTTCCTTTACACCCCTTTTACGGCTAAACTATAATTCTAAGGTATAGACAATTATATATCATTAGAAAGGTATTTTGATGCTGATGTGCAGGCAATTTTAAAAATTTCAAATTAGTTTAAAATGGAGCGATAAAATCAATTCAAAAGTCACACCAATACCAATGCCATACATGTACATGGTTGGGGCGGAAATGCCCCCTAAATGTATGCTTTAATATTGATAGCGAATTAAAGAAACGTGCTAAGCAGCAGTTCAGGAATAAAATGTATGTATGTATGTACATGAATAGATTAGACTCAAACAAGGAAGAAGGTAAAGTTGAGTATGGAGAAGAAGAAAGTGATAAATACAGAAATTAAAATAAAAGTAAAGAAACCTAGATATAAAGACAAAGAGGAAGGAAAATTTAAATACCTAACCTAATAACAATGGT